CCGCTGATTGGCCCGGTGACTAGTCTTCCCGCCCTTTTCATGCGGACTATACAGTCATTAAGATTTTAACATACGTACGCCACTATTTTCAACGTACACTATTTGGCCGTGCAACCACGTCGCCTTCTTAGCGTGTATCTCATTCGCAATTATAAGGATACAGCAGAATGGCCTGAAGACTTAATGGTCCCTGCATGCCCGCTGTTTATAAGCGTATTAACAACAGTCGATCACACGTACTAGCTATTATATTGAGAGCTGTACAACATAACTGTCAGTACCAATAGATACTGTTTCTTAATAATAATAATAATAATACGACGAGAGCATCGCTTTAGTGGTGTGTAAACACTCATGTTGCGGAACGTTGACTAGGACCCGTCTACCATTGAATACTATCTCTCAATATGATAAACCACGTGAACAAAGCAATGGAACGCAATCAGACACAACTGATTCCAGTGAAAGACGCGATACAAACAACGTAGTGGAAGATGGGCGTAGAAGTCAGTTTGAAGAAATACACCTATACACAGGTGGGAATACTGGGACGTGTAAATAAATGTGACATATTTTAACTTTTTCTATACAACATTGTACGAATGTTTTGCCGCATCGCCCCAGGCCTTGTATTGATAGTTTCACATTTGCATAATTTTTTTTGTATGATGAAGACGCAGGCATTTGAAACCGCGAAACCGTTTGTGCATCGATATGGGTGGCTCCCAATAGTTAGTCTACGCTCGCACTGCCAATCATCCACCATACTGACAGACACGAATAAGCCTGCAAATATCCAAGGACCTAAAAATACCCTTGACGTTTAAGTAGGCGTATTACTCGACATCGAACTAGAACGTTATATTATAAAACAGGAGAGGGCAGTGGCGCGCGCGGCGGGGGGGGGGGGGATTGCCGGACACAACCGTACACAATGACACGTATACATCAAATACCGACATATCTGAAGAACTGTATTTGAATATACTTCAAACTCATTTGGCACAAACGGGCGAGACAAACCCCTTGGGCATTTAGACGACAGAGAATGAATGCAAACAGGTCTCTAGGTATACTGACAAATACTGACAAGGCGTTGTTTTTATTGATGCTCCCTCCATAAATGTAAAGTTTACATCAGTAACGTATGAGCGTTCGCGAGCTGTATATGTAATAGTCGACTCTGAGGGACGATCTTATGCACGAAGTCTATCTCAGATGTATTCACAGCGTTCACCTTTCGGCTGGGGTCAAACAAGCTCAGTGATGCGCATCTATCTTTTTTTGTTAAAAATGTATGATCTTGCCAGCGCACAAGAGGCTACAAAAGTCAGTATGAGTGGCATGTTTACCTGCATATTCACACTTCGATAACTTGAATGTATATGCCAGGAGTCGGACATGGAAGTTTAGTAAGGCGATACTATTGTTCCGTGGTCACTGCTTGCCATAAAACGCCCCACTTTGCGAGGGTGCATTTCTGACTCCGAAGAGTCGATACGTGTAGTTTGCATTAAATCGAACGCTTTT